TCCCTACTAAAGACTGTAAATCTCGAAGGGTAACCTTCTTTTTTCCTAACATGTCTTTAACCATATCTGTCAACATGATAACTTTGGGTTGTGGTATTCTTATAACCATTTCAATAGGGTAGAGTGGGGTAATTTCGACCACTTTTGCTGATTTGTGACTTTCAATCCACAAAACACGAATGTTTTCAAATGTACTAGCTTAAAAAAAAAGATTCAAAGTAAATTAAATGATTTTTTTCTTCTATTTTTCTGATTTAGGATTTAAAAATGCATAAAAAATAATGAAATGGTTTAAAAATAAGTAAGCATGTTGCATGGGTTAATTTCGACCGGACTTGGGGTAATTTCGACCACAACAAACATCAAAAAGAAAGATAACTCTTGCAATGCAAGTAAACTCTACCTGTCGCATTTAAAAAAAAATATGGTCCGAGAATTATTTAGAAAATACGTCTCTCTCTCTCTCTCTCTCTCTCAATAAAAAGATTAAAATGGATAAGTACTAGTATCCATACAGTAAAGAAATGGGTTCGGTTACTCAAGCTTTTCAATGCTGCCTTATAGACATCTTAATTCTTACTCTATTCTAAATTCTACATTTTAATTCGCTAACTCTGTATTTTAAAATGGTGTTATATAGTTATGCAAATAGATAAAATTTTCTCAGATTCCACAAATAATTTCTTTGTTATGATTTTTAAATTGTACAACCCAAAAGGGACTTTATTTAATATCGTCTTTTCACAACAGATTCATTCAAATTGAATATACATGTATATGTATAAGGTTTGAGCATAGCATTAGAATTGCGTATATTTTTCTTCACTAATTTTTATCATATACAAATTCATTTGGAATGCGTTGTATTACGTATTTTACGTGTTAACTTCATTGTTAAAAGAGATAGATCCTGAGAAATTCGATCAAGTCCCTCATATAAAACGAGATTTACAGAAGCAAAGTCCTCTGAAATCCTCCTCCTCCACCCCCCCCCCCCCAAAAAAAAATCATTAATTTCGTAACATCATAGTGGGTTTTTTTTGTTTGTTTCAAGATTGTTGCAGCTCTTTTGATGTGTTGTTCTAATATTTTGGGTACTATTTGGATTTGTGTACCTGGACTGTGTGATACGATCTTAATACATGTACGGCTGGTTCGTTGGTTTTCGATAGCCTCAAAGTCTTGTCCGTCAAACGCATTTGTAATAATAAAAAAAATTACAAAAACCTGATTTTTTTAAATATATTTAATAATATTGCATGCATCCTCTCTTTTGTTAATTTGACGGGTTTAGAATCTTTTGGATTGCTCTCGTCATGTGTTATTTCATAGTCAGTGCCGACTCCGTGTTCTCTCGCACGTCGATCAGTGATGCACCCTTGTGAACGACCCGACGATATATATAGCTAGGCATGCATATGTTAATTAATCGTACATATTTTTTTAATATAAAAGGTTATATGTAGATAATACATAATATTGTACATATACAGTATAATTAATTTCATTTTGAAGATCTAACTCTGCATTGCATTAAACAGCTGTTAAAGACAACATGCACATATTTCAGAATAAGTGATCGAATTTGCCCCGCGTCCTTAAAATCAGTAGGGGTAATTTCGACCAAAATCAAATGGACGTTTCTTGTGCATTTTGAGAGAAATCCAATATAAATTTGTAAAATTATGCAACTTAAAGATACTCCAAGAAAAAATAAAACAATTTTAATTTAATTCGTGCTGTAGACTGTTGAACAAGGTTAAATTTAAAAAGAGGTTGTACGAGTTGTCTCTCTTGCATTTCCTTGATCAAATCAAGAGCACTGAAGACGGGGATTTCGAACGTCAAACTGGAGACATAAATAATAGTAAAAATATTATTTATATCTCTGATCAAACCATATTTGCGATGAATAATTATATTAGGAAACACAATATGAGGAATAGTTTTCTTCAATTCCAAATAAATTAAACTTGTCTCAATACTTCCGTAGATCTTTGTGTGGTGCTGTCTTCCTGTGGTGGAAATTAAACGGTGGTCGAAATTACCCTGACTTACCCTAGTGTCAATTTCTAATCCTAAATATGTAATTCTTGTAGTAGGGCCTGCAGTTTTATCCTCAGCTAAAGGGACACCAATGTCAGTCGTAATACTTTTGAAATTTTCCATAAGCCGAATACACTCTGACGTTCCCCCTTTTCCAGCAAAAATAAAGTCATCTAAGTAGTGATCTAAAGTCTCTAAACCAGTTTGAAATTTTGTTAACCAATGAAGGAATGTTGCAAATGTCTCCCATATCTTACAACTTATTGCACAGCCCATTGGTAAACATTTGTCTATGTAATAAAGCCCATCTACCGAGAACCCTAACAAATCAAAATCATCTGGATATATTGGTATTAATCTAAAAGCACTCTTAACATCAACTTTCGCTAAAAGAGCCCCTTTCCCTAACCCACAAATCATGTCTACCACCTTGTCAAATGACGAATAATTTACTGTACATAGCTCTGGATCAATGAAATCATTTATACTATTTGATTCTGGGTATGACAAATGAGTAATCATTCTCCAACCCCCATCAGATTTTGGAATAATACCAACTGGTGACAAATGAAGATTTGATATAGGAAGTTGACTAAATGGTCCTAATACCCGACCTAACCCTATTTCTTTTTGTATTTTTTCCATCAACTCGACGTGGTGATGCTGCGCTGATAGCAAGTTTTTAGAAGACACATGAACCCTTGGCCCCGAGTACTGGAGTTTAAAACCATTTAAAAATCCATCCTTTAAAAATTGGGCTATATTTTGATCTGGATAATCGTTTAAATATTTCAATAATTGATCCACTTTAATAGGTGTTTTTCCTAGGTCCCATATTTTTCTGTGGTCTATATTGTTGGGGTCTTGTACTACTACTGGCACCTGGGGCTCGAAAGGGGGGTTGAAATCTGGGTATTCCAGGGGAAGGAAAGTGACCACTATGCTGGTTGTAACCCGGATACGATTCCCCTTTTAGCGATTGAAATTGGGCTATATTTACTTGTTTCAAAGGACATGCGGAGATGGGGTGACCATTGTTACATTTAATGCACAAATGCAGATACCCACATCCCTGTTTGTTACAGAAGCCCCTGTAGTTAAAGTTAAAACATTTGTTGTGCAATATTTGCCCAGGTGAGGATTGGGTTGAGATGGCCTGTGGCGATGGGGCATGCATGAACATAAGCCAAAGTTCAGGATCTATAGCTGCCCAGGAAATTGATGGGTTAACACTTCGTCTTAATCTGAACTGTTCATCATACTTTTTCCATCCCATACCCATCCCTCTTGCAGCCCCTAACCTAATGTCGTGCATGTATTTAAACAGACCCTGCACTTCATCTTGATGGGCTGAAGCATAAATGCTACTATAAATCAAAAAAGCATCAGTCCATTTTTCACTTGTGTTAATATTAATTTTAGCTTTTGAACTTTCTTTGGTAACAAGCTCTCCTTTTTCATTGAAGTAAATTTTCTTCTCAGATGCTTCAGTAATAGATGTATTGTCCAATAATAAACTTATATCAACATATTTAGAATTGACAATTTTATCTTTGATGTTCTGAAAAACATTGGACGACAACAAATTGTTGACAGACTCAACCATGTACGGTGCTTCATAATCAAGCACCACATTGTCACTCAGACTACCTGATATCTCTGCGGTACTAGTTAGGCCATCCTGCAGACTTTTTGTTGCTGTACTTTGTGGTTCAGCCTGGGGCAGATCTCTGGGCTTTTCCTTACTAGCTGTGCGCTTTCTCTTTGAAGTGCCTCTTGTCGAAGTCTGTGCAGTGGTTAATGCATCTTCACCTGCCGTCCTTCCTGTTCCACTAGACTCAGGAGGGGGGTTTACTGACCTTGGATTCCCTTCAGTAGCACCAACCCTCACTGTTGTATTGCGTTTTCTTTTTGGCATTTCTCATGCAACATAAAAACTTACCAATTTATCACAAATTTAAACAGAATATATCCATATTTCTCGGATATGGATTGCGTCACCCAATTTCATACATTTCAATAACTAAATATTTCCAGAAATAAAATTAATCATAACTTCCGTGATATTCTTGATAAAAGATTACAAAATCAGTAGTTTTATATAATTTCTGAGGCACCTATTTTATCACGCTACCATATGCATATGCTTATGCAGCAGACTACAATCCAAGACCATCGTTCATTTAAATATCAAAATTATTTTCAATAGATGATAAACTTGTATGAAATGTTATATAAAGTTGCAATATCAGTTACAATAACAATTTTTTACCAGTCGATTACTTGTATTTTTACCAATTTATGCTCTTGATAGATCTGCGTCTGTTCACCATTCAGCAACCAGATTTAAAAGGGAGCCCGAACCCGATGTTAATTATGGAATCTCTGTACATCATTCATCAAACCCGACTTCTTTTCTCATAAAATAAATGCATCTATTTTTGATAATTAAATAGATGCTAATATTTGTCAAAAGATATTTATTTGTTATTAATACTTCTTATCAGTTTAAAAATTCACACTTAAATGTGTATTATTTGTTTACTTTTCTGTTACTGTTACGCCACATTTGCAAGCACCATAGCATTACGTAACAATGCGTCGCCCGCGTGTCGCAGTGGTCAGAGCGTTTGCTTTAGAGTCGCAGTGTAAGGAGTTGATCCTTACATTGCGGGTTCGAATTCCATTGCGGGATGTAGAGGCCGGTCCGTCGGATGAGACCGTATAAACCGAGGTCCCATGTCGCAGTAGGTGCTGGCACGGAAAAGATCCCTCACTGCTCAATGGCCCAGAGTGCCAAGTATAGGTTAAAATTTGCAGCCCTCCACCGGCAAATTGTGGCGTCTCCAAATGAGTGAAAAATTCTCGAGAGGGACGTTAAACAACAAACAAACAAACAAAAAATGTAACAATGCTGGGTATGTAAAATTATATATATTTAAAATAAACCCTACCTGCCGTTCCTGAATATCCCGACACAGTGAGTTTGTATTTTTTGTTCTCGTCCCCGACATAAAATGTGGAGTACTGAGCGTATGCTTCGTCACCATTAAATCTTTGAAGGGAAACCCGTAGTTCCTGGTCCTTGTTCTTCGTCAACTCATAGATTGCGTCATTTCCTTTTAAAGAAATATCTTAACTCTTATATTGTTTTATTGCAATAACTTGCTCATGTAATGTAAATTTGAAAAGCATGTTTGAAAATAAGGTCTTCGTCATTAAGAAATTTCATTTTTAAAGTCGTCAAATTTTAAAATTAGTTGATACGTAAAGCACTTCTTAAGTACAGTACTTATTACAGGTACCACATGAAAAAATTATATTCTTTTGTACATGTCTGTTTTAAGCTATTTTTACGTTTGTATGTGAAACGAGAAAACTTTACGTTGTACACAAATTCATAATCTTCTGTTAACAGAAATACTTTCATTATATTAGAAAAAAGTTTCTAAATTCTGCTCTAATCGAGAGATAGAATAAATCTCTTTTGCTTTCAGAAAAGTGAAATCTTTAATTTTTTGAGTTAATTTTCATTGTTTTCCTGATTTGAAGACACCCAATAAACTCGTATTTTTCAAATGATAGAGAAAGGTTTAAAATGAGTGCACTGGTATTGAGCAATACTGTGTGAAATGTAGGGGGAGAGTATTTTTGAAAACCTCATGACAGCATGTTCTTGACGTTACAATGTTGTTGAGTTAAATAACATGACTTGTGTTAAATCACATGAAATGAAATTTCACATATCAACAAAATAAATATTTTTACATTTGATAATGTGCTCATTTTCAATTTCTTAAAGATAGTATTACGTAAATTGGCATAGTCTGCAAACTTTCCGAACAACCTTCATATATATAATCTTCCTAACGCTTTTTATGTTTTGAGGGGAATACATACTTTTATAGTGAAATATCTTTAATTTTGTCCCAAGAAAGAAAAGGTTTCATGCATGTAATTTCGTTTTCAAAAAAATAAAGCGGCGTTTTTTTTTTTTTCATTTTTAAGTACAAATAAATTACATGCGCGGATCTATGATTATTTTTACCAGGACAGAGAGTGTTTATGGGGTGTTCATTCACTCCATTCGATTAAACATATTCAAAATATTTGACAGGTCAAAACCTATCAAGCTTAAACAGTCTGTGTAGTCATTTTTGAACTTTAAAAATCCAATGAAGTCAGCCCCCACCCACCCCCATCCCCCTTTGATTCCGCACATGCTTTATGAATAGGTGGACCTAGTGGTTTATAGAGAGAATATAGCGTTCATATTTGTTGAAAGACTTTGTTACGAGTGTCCCTAAACAGTATGTCAACGGCAAAATGGGTAAAATTTAAGCCCAGTTTTATGTCATTTAGCAAAACAGATAGAGTATATTATTTTCGTGAGCTAGGAAGATTTTGGTTGTCTTTAACGTACGTCGCGAGTTTGCTGTTTAAAAATTTAAAAAGATGAAATTTATACAATTTGGAGTCTTTTTAGACTCTTATTTTTATATAAATAAAACTAATGGAAATAAAAAGATTATTTATCCGCGTAACATATGAACGTATATGAATAAGTTTAATAGGGAAATTCTAGAGGTGTACTTTCATTGCTAAATATTTTTTTCTATTATGATATAGGTAATATAGGATTAGTTCATGTTTATTTTCAGTGCTACACTATACTTTTCTGAGTTTGAAAAAAAGCTAACATGAAGAGACATTTGTTTTTGACATGAACTCATTTCAAATCTACTGTGTATTAAATGACCAAATAGACAGATTCATTATCCCCATACCAAAAATTATTGACATTTTAAAAATTCTAAAAAAAAAAAAAAAAAGGGGGGGGGATTGGGGTTCTGAGAATCCCCATCTGATTTCTACAACTACTATAATATACTGTAGCACAATACAACTTTCCATCTTTTTGGTCCAGTGGTTCTTGAGAAGATCTTTAAAACTTTTTTATCAAATGATTAACTTTGATTCGCTATAATGTCCCACATCCATGGGGCCATGATTTAAACAATTCAGAATCTTTACTACCTCATAAAGCTTTCATATAAATTTCACCTTTTCTAGCCCAATGGTTTAAAAGCTTTTAAAAGGCGAAATACTACAATTTATTATATACCCAAGTGTGTATCACTCAATTTTACTGTAGGTTTCGTACGGTGTGATCCGACTTTCCGGATCACCACACTGTGGTTTTCTGAATCCATATCACCCCTCTCTGAAATTGATGACGTAGTACACAGAAACATGACGTTATTTTTCATGCGCATCAAAAGTTCCTTGACAATATGCTTTGTTTAATGGAAAAATCTTATATCATTGATCTCAAAAGTTTTTTTTAAAACTATATTTTGCTAGTTGTAAGGGGGGTATATAATAAATTTATCATTATAACAGTAACTTGATCCGAAGAGCCGTATCACGTCTCGTTGACAGGCGCGGATCATCAGATCAAACTCGACGCTTCGCGTCTCGTTTGATCTGATGATCCGCGCCTGTCAACTCGACGTGATACGACTCTCCGGATCAAGTTACTGTTATAATAATGTATATTTACTGTAGTAACTAAATTTATTATTGGATCCAATACATGTTTTTTTTTACTTTAGTTATTACTATAAACCTTTCAAATTGATACTTTGATTAATTGTAGAAAAAAACCTTTGATTTACTATTATGAATTTCTATGAAAACATACTTTTATTTCCTTTTTTTCTTTTTAAATCTCTTTTAGCATACATATGGTTCTTCGACTTTTTCCTTGATAAATATAATAGACTATGGTCTATCATAGTAAACTTCATCACTATAGTACTTATAATCTAAAGGTTAGTCTAGAAATAGTGTCAAAGTAATAATAATAATAAGATTAATACTATAGATATCTGATTCATCAAGAATATTTGTTATTTTGTAGCTGTTAATAATAATTGTTAAATAGAATAATCCCGATTATAATGTCCATACTTATCAAAAACTAAAACTTTTTGATTTTATACATTTAAAGAGACACCTTATAATCTAAATTATAAAAACTAATCTTACCAATCCAGTAGTTTTTAGAGGGATCCCCAAATCCCTGTTTATATTCTGACCACGTCCGGTAAAAATCTGTAGACCCGTCCTGTCTTCTTTGTATTGCCTGAAACATATAAGATGGTTGCCTCTTTATTTTTTTAATTTTTTTTTTTTTTTTTTGACGTAACGTAGGTTTAATGAAAAAAATTAATCGTTATGAAAATAGTAGAAAACATCTCTTTACAATTTAAAAAAAAAGGAATTGTTTGGTTAATCACGTGACTGGTTTATCTTACCGTCCACCCTCCCCCTTCCGTTGTCATGTCACAGTACACAAACTTTGTCATGGAGGCTATTTTTAATGGATAAATCCCATCTCTTCCTCTAAGACTCGGAAGTTTCCGTAAAATATCAGCGCAATAACTGTAGTCAGCTGTAAACACTAATAAAAATAATGCATGTTCATAATTTATAAGTATAGAAGACATGCCATTTACTATAAATTAGGCATTTAATATTAGGCCAGAAAATCAAGGATCTGGATTTTTTTATTGAGTATCCGTACAACAGAAAGTATGATGACTTCAAAACCCCATCCCACAGGTGCAGCGTTGAGAAAAGCTTTATTTGGAAGGTTAAAAAGCGGGAATTGTGTGTGTTTGTGAGGGGGTGTGTGTGCGTGTGTGATAATTATGTTTGTTCTAAAAGAAGCATGTACGTTATGTTCAGATTGTGATGCTATTTCAATAAATAATATATTTATACAAGTAAAGGTTAAAATATGTTAAGTGTATTTATATGCATGTTTTTGTTTTTATTGCAAATAAGAAATAAATTCATTTTCTTAAATGTTACCCTGGCAAAAACTATACACAAAGTTGATTTAATTCCATACCTCGGTATTTTTATATATGGCAAAAGGAAACTAAATTTTGTAATATTTATTACTCAATCCCTAGAGGGGCTTGAGTTACATGTATCTATAACGATGCTAGGTTATCGGTTTACTCAGTGTAAAAACACGAAAATATTTTATTTATGCAGATAAAAGCATTTCTAGTCATAAAAATGAAGCTTATATTGAAAATGTCTGTATATTCAAAGATATCTAGTGTTAAATGCCGGACTCTATTCTATGACGATTTAATAAAGAGTAATGCTCTGCAGCCGCAACAGGTTCTGTACAGGAATTTCGGGCTTTCCTTTGCGTACATGTATGAATCTCAGGTAAGTTTTACAACGGCCGTCAATGCATTCTTCATTGGTTACTCTGAAAGGTGACACATCGTTAACCCATCGTTATCATTTTCTACAATCATCTGCCTGCCTACTTTGCGTGATAGTAGTTTAATAGCACAAAACAGTTGCTGTCCTTAAAAAAGGACTGCAATACGCCGACGATGAGCCTGTGTTTCTGTCAGAAATTTTAAAAAAAATTACACTTTGTTATGAAAAAACGTGTAATTAAAAGATTTCTTTTATTTTGAAACATGTTAATTTTTCGGTATAATTCTGCGTTATGTCTAATTACTGAAACTGTAAATATGAATGATAAATGCACGTCCTGGATATCAAAACTTAATCAATACATATATTGTTTAATGTATGTAGCTTTGACCATTAAATGTGTCATCCATTTATCCGTTTATCACAAATACTCCACTTGTGAACTGTTTTGCTCGAGCTCAGATTTTATAATATTGTCCAGATTTTAAAAATGACGTTCTCCTTGAAAAAAAAGACATCTCTCTTGAAGATTTCCATTAATTTTGCCAGTATATACAACCAAAATGAATTTGAATTACCATATTTATATTGGATTCCGAAACTTCATAAAAATCCTTACAAACAAAGATACATAGCGGGTTCCAGTAAATGTTGAACCAAGCCTCTTTCTTTACTCCTCACTAAGATATTAACAGTGGTGAAGGAGAAACTTCAAGAGTACTGCGCAACAATATATTCGAGAAGTGGTGTAAATCAGATGTGGATACTTAAAAATTCCAAGGAACTTTTGGAAAATTTGAAATCGGAAGATTTTACCAAAATCAACAGCGTAAGAACTTATGACTTTTCTACTTTATACACAACCATTCCCCACGATAAACTAAAGTTCAGGCTTTTTGATATAATTGACAGCTGCTTTTTCAATAAAAATGGAACTCCTAAATATACTTACCTTGTCATTGGTCATTTGCAAAATTATTTTGTTAAAAAACATTCTGATTGTACACACAAGTACTCTGAAGTTGACAATAAAAAGATGCTTGAGTTTCTGATTGACAATATCTATGTGGTTTTTGGAGACCAGGTCTTCCAACAATCTATTGGAATTCCCATGGGTACCAATTGCGCCCCGTTATTAGCAGACCTTTTTTGTATTCATATGAAGCAGAATTTGTCCAAAATCTTGTAGGTGAAAAGAAGAAAACACTTGCTGTGGCCTTCAACTCGACATTTAGATATATCGACGATGTATTGTCAATTAACAATGGCTATTTTCATTCTTATGTTGATACGATATATCCTGGTGAGTTTGAGATAAAAGATACCACAGAGTCTGACACATCTGTTTCATTTTTGGATATTTTACTTGAAAAAGACGTTAATGGTAATCTAACAACCAAGCTTTATGATAAACGTGACGACTTTAACTTTTCAATCGTCAACTTCCCTTACTTATGCAGCTATATACCTTCATCACCTGCATACGGGGTATATATCTCTCAGTTGATTCGATACGCAAGAGCATGCTCTACGTATGAACAATTTCTTAAACGAGGTAAATTATTGACAAACAAGTTGATGAAACAAGAATATCAGCTGTCTCGTTTAAAGTCATCATTTCGTAAGTTCTATGGTCGATACAATGACCTTGTCAGCAAATACAATTTATCACTGAGTCAAATGCTGACTGATGTTTTTCATACTAATTGTTAGGCCATTATTTACACACTGAATTGTCGACGGATTTTTTCGTTATTTCCCGATCATGACAATGAACACACGGCGGGTGTGACCGGTCGGCAGGGGATGCTCACTCCTCCATGGCACCTGATCCCACCTCTGATGTTTAGAGGTCCGTGTTTGCTCTGCTCCTATTTTGTATTGTTTAATGGACTTTTGAACTTGAATACTGTTCGTTATCTCCATATATTACATTACTGTAGAAAATGAAGGTAATTTACAGGTGTGCCCTTCAGTATTATTTTTGCAAGTATAAACTAGAAATCTAATCTCATTAACAGTCGTATCCCCTCTGGAAGCTTAAGATGACCCGAATTTGTCAAGTCTTTAACTTCCCCGAACTGATATTGCGCCCTACGAGCCAGGATGCACAGGACTGATGTCGGTGAAGACCTTTTTTACCTATTAAAGCAAAGTCCTTGAATTTACTTTTTAAATTATAAGATGTAACACCATTTGAATTTTTCCTCCTTTTATAAATGTTTGTACCAGAGAAACCCCGGTCCAATCTTATTAATTTTCCATATGTATTACTCTAGCAAAATATTTTTTGTTTACATATCAGGATATATGTACAGCGTATAAAAGAGTAGATTCGGATCTTGGACACGCTAATGAATGAATAAAATCTATGTACAAATATTAAGCGAGGTTTGCCATTGATCGGCGAGGCGAGTTGAAAGTCGAATACTGAAAATTTATCGTTATGTCATTCACACCTGTAGCAAATTCAAAACAAAATAAACTAGTATTAATTGTAACGGGGACCGTTACAGATGTTCCCCAAATACTCCCCAACTTCCCTTTGGTGTCTTATTCCCTGTAAGCTTCATTAAATAAGGCAATCAAGTATATTGTGTTTTTTTACGCATTACACGCGCGCGCACGGGCATGCATATACAAAATGACCATGTCAACTTGTCTACGCTTTTAATACATCTTTATATTCAAATTTCATCAAAAGATAAAAAAAAATTCGGCTATATTAAGTATATCTGTTATTTTACGCATTGCAAGCGCGCGCACGTGCATGCATGTCCATGATGACCATGTCATCTTGTCTACACTATTAATATATCCTTATATTCTGAGTATCAAAGTATTTCATCAAAAGATACGAAAGTTTTGGCTATATCAAGTATATTGGTCATTCTACTCATTGCACACGCACGCACGTGAATGCAAGTGCATGCATGTGTGCGCTGATCATGTCATCTTGTGTACACTTCTAATATATATTTATATTCTGAGTTTCAAAGCAATTCATCAAAAAAAAAAGTTAAATCTATATCATTTGTATTGGTTATTTCAATCATTACGCATGCGCACACTTTCATTCATGTGCATTCTGACATGTTATCTTGTCTACACTATTAATATATCTTGATATCCTGAGTATCAAAGCATTTCATCAAAAGATATGAAAGTTATGGCTATATCAAGTATATCTGTCATTTTACTCATTGCACGCGCATGCACGTGCACCACGTGCATGCATGTGTGCGCTGATCATGTCTTCTTGTCTACACTTCTAATTAATATTTTTATTCTGAGTTTCAATGCAATTCATCAAAAAATGTACAAGTTAAGTCTATATCAATTGTATTGGTTATTTCAATCAATGCGCATGCTCGCACGTGCATGTATGCGCATTCTGACCATGTCATCTTGTCTACACTATTAATATATCCTTATATTCTGAGTATCAAAGTATTTCATCAAAAGATATGAAAGTTATGGCTATATCAAGTATATTGGTCATTTTACTTATTGCACGCACGCACATGCACGTGGCGCAAAATGACCTTCGTTCCGCAAATCTACATAACATTCCTATCAACCCTAAAAAGGTTTCACCTCAATCCAATGTATAGTTTCGGAGATCACTCAAGGACAAAAAAGTACCCAGGAAGAAAAATAATAATAACTAGAAACCTTGTTGCCATGGCAACAAGAAGGTCTTCCGTCCCTTCTCTGTCTTCATAGATGTTGATTCCTCTTTAAACAACATGTTATGTTGTGCATTCCCTGTCACACCTTAATACGAAAAATAGTTCCTTCGCCATGCGCTTGGCACTTTGAAGTTAAAGTTTCGGATATTTTGGATGAGACCTTAAAAACCGATGCCCCGTGTCACGGCAGGTGTTGGCACGATAAAGATCCCTCACTGCTCAATGGCCCTGAGTGCCGAGTAAAAGTCTAAATTTGAAGCCCTTCACCGGTGGTCACGCCTCTATATGAGTGAAAAATTCTCGAATGAGACTTAAAACAACATACAATCAATCAATCAATCAATCATACATAAAATATAATTAAACGTTTATATTTTGAAAATATTGCAAAACTGGAACGAAAAAAATACGAGATATCATTTTAAGGAGGGGGGAGGACATATGTTCCAAAACATCTTTGTGTGAACTTTAAGATTCT